GGACCTGGAGGCCAGGTTCCCTTTGATATATTAAATAGGTATGTCAGCCATTTGTCCCAGGGTTTGAGACTTAACAGAATAGAGATTATATTGAAATACCTTATTTCATAGGTATTTCTAAACTTGGTCTTTTAAAAATTCTAAACTTTATTATTAGAACCAAAATACATTTAAAATGGTATAGTAATACACCCAGTTCTTTACAATAAAGAGGCTTCTCTACCTCAGCACTGTTGACATTTTGCATTAAAAGGATGTTGTAGGAGCCATTGTGTGTCCTGAGGGGTCTTTGGCAGTATCACTGAGCTCTACCACCCATTCTCTTGAACTTCTTGTTAGTGACATTTACTTTATAATACATGATCTTTCTTAGCTTATGGTTTTGACATGGTTCACTGCAATAAGATTAAGCAAAAAAAAAAGAGATTGGCTTAGAGTGGTGTGGAGGAGAGTAGAATAAAAGAAGAGGCTTGTGAGGAAAGCACAGGTAAGAACAAGTATGCTGGTGAAAACATCTCCAGGCACTGGCAAATATCCTCCCATACAGGGAAATGGCCAGTCTTCGTTGAGAGCGGTTCTTTAGATGACTCCCTGCCCCAAGCTATTAAGAACTAATTTTAGAATGTACCACAGGCAATGGTAGTACAGACTCCCAGTTACTCCTGTTACCCTTTCGAAATCCCACCTTTATCCTCAAGGGTCTGAGGTCATTTAGATGCAATATCACCAGAATCAAACTCGGTGGAGAGGGAAAAGAAACAAAATAGGTCCCTCAGTTACACATGCAAGCACGCACACACACACACACACACACACACACACACACACACACAGCTAAACAACAACAAGGAGCATTGGAGGTGCAGAGAAAGTGGGTGTTTATTTTATGCCCAAGTTAAAGTTAAGTCATCTGTGCAGGAGAGGGAAGGAAGCCGTAAAGGATTTTCAAAAAAAAAAAAAGCATGGGTTAGTTCAACTACAGTGAATGTTCCTTTGTAACAAGGATTGTAACGAACATCAATGGGTTTTACTTGATTATGTCAAATGCTCTTCTTTCTCAAGCACAATTTCCACTCCACCCCTTATCTCAAACCACCCCTCCCTTCATTTAGCTTTACTGCAATACAAAACGATGCAACAAAACTCAGTCACGCATTGCAATTTCCTAAGTGCTTTATCTTCTGCTGAGAGAACTGGTCTTTCTGTCAACATTGTGATATCAACTCTTCTAATTGTGGAAGCATCTAGAAATGTGCATTTGATCGTGCAAGTCTTTCAGTGTATAACATTTAGAAGCCTGTGTGTCTCCCAACAAGTCACAGCCTGCAGAAACTTTGTCTGCCCATTCAGGATCCCACTCCTTCTGCTCGGTATGTGGAATTTCTGGCATGCACACACAGCCTTTATCTGGATGCATGACTAATGAACACTAGTAACTCAGAAAATCAGTCTGCACAGATGGCAGAGTTAAGCAGGAATCATTTTTTTAAAAAGAATTTCGACAAGAAAGAATTCTTAACCCATTGACTCTAAAAATCTTTTTGAAACAAGGTTAATAAAAACAATACATATGGACTTTTAGAATTTAAATTTTCTATCAATGTATACACTACTTTATGAAAGAATTAAACATGATTACATAATTGGCAGAAATTAGTATTTTTGTAACATCAAGTCATGCCAGGTACTGTGTGAGATATATTAGTTTTCTATTGCTGTGATAAAATACGGTGAACAAGGCAACTTACAAACAAAAGATTTGGGGGGAGCTCATGGTTCCAGAGGGACAGGAGTCCATGATGGGAAGGTGTGGCAATAAGAACAGGAGGATGAGAGCTCACATAGTGAACCATAAGCACAAAGAAAAGCAAACTGCCAGCCAGAAGCATGAGGTTTTTCAACCCAAAGCCCACCCCCCTTCCTCTAAAAGGTTATGCCACCTACAGCTCCCCAGACAGCCACCAACTGGGGACAAAATGTTCTAATGCCCAAGACACATTTTCATTACACCCTAAAATTAAACACAACTGTCCTGAAAGATTTGTTTCCTCATTTCGAATCTTTTCTTAGTCTGTCCTCAAACAACCAGTCAGGAAATTCAGGAGGGTTCAAAATGCCAAGAGTCACAAAAAAAAAACGTCATTCCAACGACCACTCACAGCAGAGGTGTCTAAAAAAGACTTACTTACTCCAGGAGCTTGCTAAAAGTGGTTCACCAGCTAAAGTTCTCAGCCAATAAGCTCTGCTGAATAAGGAAATGGGTCATAGGACAAAAATCAGTCCACACTTGGGAACTTTTCCATTTCAGATCATGCCACAAACTGTATTATCCTTATTGCACACAGCCAACCTTCGTGCAGCAGCACATTCCTGAATGCACACAGTTATAAATAATACTAATAAAATAATAAAGAGTAAATCCATCAAAAATATAAGGACTTGGAATTTTTCCTCACTTTTCTTTCTCCACCAAACATATGCACGCACACACACACGCACACACACACACGCACACACACACACACACACACAAAACACATACTCATACAACAGCAACAAAAAAAACTGTTGACCCTAAAAGATTATTACAAATATAACATATCAAGTGCCTTAAGGATGAGTCTTTTTTTAGTGGAATTTTTTGCTGTATTTCGTGTTTAATTCTTTTTTAAGTAAATGGCTAAAAGAAAACACTATTTTCCTAAGGAAAAAAGTTTAAAATTATACTGGCCAAAACAACAAAAAATAAATAAAACTTTTAAAAAATATATCAATTCATAGTACTAATTACAATTAGTAATAAATCAGTTTAGGTGAGAAATAATAAAAACGTTGCTTTAAAAATGACGAAAAAATGAGCAAATTTTAAAATCTGCCCCAAGTGGAGGGTAATTCTTTTCTGCTAAATATGTCAGCCACTACCCTACTATTTCATTAGTCAATTGGCTTTCCTAATATAACTTCATTGTTTTTCTTATAATTTCTTCAAACATAAAGTAGATATATGTATCTTCCTAACATAGAGGAATTTAAAATGATGTTTTGTAATCATAATATGCAAGATGAATCTGCGACTAAAAGTGTTTCCTGTGGTAGCTGGCACTTTCAGTTCAATCCTCAGAACACCATGTAAAGGTGGAGGGAAAAACCCTGCTTCACATAGTTGTCCTCTGACTGTCACACTTGTGCTGCCACCTGAGGGTACACACACACACACACACACACACACACACACACACACACACACACGCATGCATGCACGCACGCTCACACACACACAAGCATGCATGCATGCGCACACACACACACACACGCACACAGTGCATACATACACATCTAGTAATGATACTTTTATTTAAAGACGATTGGCTATTGAGCACACAATGATCCTGGAAGACTGTTGGAAATGTCTTCTCTTCATCCCTGCCTCGTCCTCTTTATTACAGAGAGTGGGGGCAGCATGTAAAGGAGTCACCAGAATCTTCTCAGTGATGAATTGCAGTCTTAGATACTACACCACTGCTTCCTCATCTTTTAAACAGAGTCATGCCATTTCCCCTTCCCACCTCACACAGCTTTCTGATCATGAAATAAGGAAATGTATGCTAAAGACTTTCTCAATTTATAATATTATATATATATATATATAAGGTGCTATGAGTGGGGCTTTAAAGTTAAAATTAAAATGTCTTTGGGAGCTTTGCATAATTTGTCACAAATAAAAGAAAATAAAAAAATTGCCACAAAACCCATCAATTATAAATCTTAAATCTGGGTAAAGAGGAACATCCCTGAAATCCCAGTATTTTAGGAGATAAAAGCAGGAAGATCAGGGTAAGCCTCCAGAAGAGCATATCTTCAAAAGCTAAAACAATAATCATAATAATTTTAATTGACCCTTATTTAGTAAAAACTCCCAATTGCTACTCAGGTTTCCCTAACTCTATTATCATACCATTAAGTTCTAGGAGGCTATTTCTTATTCTACAAAAACCTGGGGACCAATAAGGATAAAAATCTGGACCATACAGATGCCTATAATCAGTTATACAATGGTGCACACACATCCAAGGCTTCCAAATATATTTCAGAAGGACAGAATAGCAAAACCACTTTTCAAGGAGTAAAAATAACATAATCCATGAGAGTAAGGAAGAAATGATGTGGAACATGGAGTAGAGAAAGACATGATGTGTGTACAGCTTCCCTCTCATAGAAGGAGAAGCTACAGCTGCATCCTTGGTTTACTTAGGTTGTATGTTTGAATAGAAATAGTTGGGTCATACAGGAGATGTCATATCATTCCTTCCACTTTTTTTGGCTTTTCTAGACAGGGATTTTTCTGTATAACAGGCCTGCCTGTCCTGGAACTAACTCTATAGACCAGGCTGGCCTCGAACTCTACCGGGCGGTGGTGGCACATGCCATTAATCCCAGCACTCAGGAGGCAGAGGCAGGCGGATCTCTGTGAGTTCTCGAGGCCAGCCTGGTCTACAGAGCGAATTCCAGGACAGCCTCCAAAGCCACAGAGAAACCCTGTCTAAATAAATAAATAAAGTGTGTGCCACTATTGCCCAGCTTTGGATTTTTTGTTTGTTTTGCTTTATTTCTATATCTTTAGCAACTGTTGCTATTGTGTTTTGCATAATATGAATAGTGGTTAATTGTCGAAACTAATCATTATGGTTGGAATACAAAATGTCACCCTCAGGATCAGGTGTTAAACACCAAGTCCTCAACTTTAAGAGGTTCTAAAGCTATAGTAAGTAGGTCACTAGAAATGGGTCCTTGAACATATCTTGGTCCTGGCTCCCCCATTTCAACTCTTTCCCTTCCTCTCCTTCCTATCCCTTGCCATGATGTTTTATCCAAGCACATGGGGTCAACAATCCACAGCCTGAACCCTCTAAAACCATGATCAAAACAAATGATCCTTCCCTTTATGTCATTATTGTGTCACAGTGATCCAACAGTAACGTAGAAACTGTTACCAAGAGTAGAAATGTTGCTGTAACTAAGCTTCACTATGTAGCTCTGAAGCATTTGGACCTGGCTCGGAGAAGGAATCTAGGAAAGTGTGAAGAAGCAGGTTAGAGAAAAGCTAGAATGCTGTAATCCCAACTTAATGAGACAATTCATGGTGTGTCAGGACACCAGAATACTGACAAGAAGGTTCAACTGGGAGACTGCGGTTCATTCAGATTCCATTACTGCAAGGTTTTCTTGCATTTTCTCAGAAACTTTGTTAAAGTCAAACTAACAGGCCTTGGGGATATTATAGATATTTCTGGCTGCTTTCAGCCAGGTTTACACAGAAATTTTGAAATGAAGAATAGAGTTGAAAAATTTAGAACCTATAGTCTGGCCAGCAAAAGGTAACAGACAGAAAAGGTTCCAGTTGCAGAGGAGGAGGGTATGGTTGTTAAATGGTATCAAGCACTTTGAGGAGACAATAGGAGGATTCCTTCAGGACATCTCATGAATTTGCCAGATCCTTTCCATTGAAAACTCTATGACATGAAATTATGGACACATTTTGAAAGGAGTGCTATGGAGTATCACGCTCACATAGAGTTGCTCAGGCCCTCAGAGGCTATTGCAGTCACTGTTAAAAGGATCCCCTATATTCACAAGGCAGGCGACCTTGGCGTCATTCATGTGATACAGAATCCAAGAGTTCTAAGATCATGGAGACCTAGGAGACCACACCATATGAAGCAGGGTCTTGGGTCCTAGGTGTCCACAGGAATTCCCTCATAGAACAACATATGAAGCTGTGAAGGTGAAGCTGTAGCAGAGACTCCAATATTTTAGAAATACCAAGAATATGGAGCATTTGCTTAGGAAAGCCATAGGCAATGAGTGAAGTTAGTCTAAGGGAGAGACAATGTAGATTGACAATAACAAGGCCATAAGGCTAGGGTTGCCCTACCCTGTGGGAGCTCATGTTATACACCATGATTCCTGGATGACAGATAGAGAGGATTTAATGATTCTCTGTTGGGTATTAGTCTTTGTTTACTCCAAACCTTCTTTGCTATTCTCCTGTTTTTCCCTTTTGGGATGGGAATGTTTACTAAGCCTTGAGAGCCTAGAAATATGGCTCTCGGGGTCACAAGCTAAGATCGTATCTTCAGACATAGAGATTTTGAACTATGACTCTTAATAATGTTGAACTTTTGAGAGTTGAAAATTCTTATTAAAAATAGGTAAATGCTAATATGAGATGCCCATGACCCTTTGGGGACCAGAAGCAGAATGTTATGTCTTGAATGTGAAAGTCTACTCACTAGGTGTCCAGCTGGTGGTGCTATTTTGACAGGTCCTGGACCTAACTGGAAAAAGTAGGCTATGGGTTGTTCTTTGATCTAGCTTATCTCTGGCCCCTTGTCTGTCCCTACTGTCTTCTGTCTGCCATGTTCCCCATTTGCATAATGGTTGGGGCCATGAAGTCATAAACTAAATCCTCTGATACTGTGAGCTAAGCTAAATCTCTCCATTTGTCACCATGATACAAATGTAATTAATACATTAATATCTAGTTGGGAGGGGGATTTGAGTAGAAAAAATCTATTGTCTTTCAGTTTATTATGGAATATTTTCCTAGTGTGATGATTGCAAGTCCCTCTGCACAAATTTATGGACAAGGATGGTAAATGGCCCAATGAGAAAAACATCCTACACCTTGCTCAAAACGTTATTGTGAGGTTGAAAATGAGAACATGCTTAGCATATAGCAAGCCTCAAGCTACTACTCATTCCTATTTTTTAATTAAAACACAATATCTGAAACCACTAGGCAGAAATAGAAGATTAGAAAGAAGTCATTGATGGTGGTATAGAAGTTATAACAGAAGGAAGCCAGAAGACAGGTTCTGAGTCACCAGAATGACGGATGACTGCAATCACCCCAGCCCCCAACATTGATGATCCTGAACTGCAGGCTGGCTCACAGTTTCCTGGCTCCCTTCTCAGACTTTGTCTGGCTGTGACAATACACCACAGTCACCTAATGTAACCTGAGAATGTCCCATCCCTGACGTAACTAAACACACCACTGAATTCATTTATTAAATTGTAGTCATCAAGATTTGCGTCTGAGACGGTGTAAGACAAACAATCCCTTCACTGCATTAAAAAGTCCTTCTCTTCTCTATCCTAACTGCTGTTCAAGCTGTTCTCTTCCTAGAAATTCCCAAGCTCTTCCTCTGTCTTCTCCTATCTCCCTTTTTACAGGGTCTCCTCCCTATGTGGCCCATATTGGCCTTGACCTCACTGACATGCCTCAGTCTCCCAAGTCCTGAGATCACAGGCCTGTGTCAAAATGTTCTAGACCTTTTTATTTTCTTTTTACAAAATGTCCTCCAAAAGGAAGTGTTTCAAAGCAAACTTTACTAACGACATAGCAGTTAGGGAATTTCAGTTTTACTTTGGTTCCTAGATGACTATCAATCAATTTTTAAAAGAAATGATGCATGCATGCATGCATGTTCATGTGTGTGGGCCTGCATGCATGCATGCAAAATGTGTGTGTATGTGCATGCATGTGGGATGGGGGGGGGTCCTGTAGGAAATATATTGTGTATGTGTATTTGGGGAAGTCAGGAGGCAAATCTCAGATGTCCTTCTTCATGACCTACCTTGTATCTGATTAACCAAGCAGGTTGGACAGTGAATGAGCTCCAAGGATTCACCTAGCTCTGCCTCCCCAGTGCCGTCACACCTGTGGGTCCTGGGAATTGAACCCAGGTCCTCCCACTTGTATGGCAAGCACATTTACCAACTGAGTCATCTCCCCAACCCTCAATCATCTTTTTAACTTTTTTTTTTTACACAGTGAAAGTCAAATTCCAGATTTATCTGCTTGAGGACATTGCATGTCCTCTGAAATAATGCTGAGGTAGGGAAAACCCTTCAATCCAACACACATATTGACTCTCTTGGGAAACTCAGTAGAGCAGATACTATGATATAAATTATATTTAGTGTTTTATTAGGAAACTGGAGTTTCCTAAACACCAACGGATTTCTTCACTGATAAAACAAGTTCTTCAATATAGCACAATTTCAAAAAGTGACTGTCTGCAAGTTGAAATTCTAATCCCTGAAGGGCAGTGACTTGTCACATAAGTTCAATTTTCCAATTTTATCATCTAAAGTTTTTCTCATAAGAAATTGAAATACCTTACTGAGCTGTAAAAACAAAAATCTGTGCTAGTGAGATACTCCACAGGTAAAGTGCTTGCTGCCAAGTCTCAGGGACCTGAGTTTCATCCTCAAGTAAAGGCCCATAAAGTAGAGAGACGTGACACCAAACAGTTATCCTTTGACCCCCTATGTGTAGCGTGCGCACACGCACACACAGAGAGAGAGAGAGACATACAAACACAATAAACAAATTTAAAATGTAAATTATAAGCAAAATTTATAAAAGTAAATCTATAAGCAAAAACAAGAACTTCATTTCATGCTTTCATATAAGATCTTACTTAAATTTGAGATTTCTGAACTGATAAAGGTATTTACACTTTGGTTTATTGGTTTCTTTGGTTGGATAGATGGGGAGATGGCTAGCTGGCTAGATAGATGGATGTATATATCTATGGATGGATAGATGGATGGATGGATGGATGGATGGAAGGATGGATGGATGGATGGATGGATGGATGGATGGATGGATGGATGGATAGAAGGTGGGTATATGTAAAGAGAAAGCCTTTTCCTTGAGAGAAGCCTTCCCGCCAGCCTGGTTCTAGAGCCGCATCAGTCCCAAATAAACACACAGGAGGCTATATTAATTATGAAGCTGTTGGCCTTGCTTGTTTCTTACTGGCTAGCTCTGACTTAAGTATTTAACCCATAATTGTTAATCTAAGTATTTCTCTTACCGGAGCAAAGTTCCGGACCTCTTATTTCTCTCGTGGGCTACATCGTGACTTCCTGTGTTTCTCCTACCCAGAGTCCTCCTGGACTCCTAGTCCCACCTATCTTGCTTCCCTATTGGCCAACAGTGCTTTATTGACATATACACAGGACTTCCCCCATCAGGTATATCTGTTGTTTTTTAATACACATAATTACTGTACTAAGATTTATTATATATGTTCCTACTAAAATACCTCAAACAAGACATAAAAAGCAAAATTATTCACTGAGCTTTAAACCTCAGACAACTTTTAAGAAAAATGCTCAAAATTTCAAGATCTTGGTATTTAAATATTAAAGAAGAATTTAGTAAGATTCTGTTTATTTGTATAAGATGTGCATTTAGTATTTGAAAATTTCTATTTATGAGACATGATATTCATTTCAAAATGTATAACTACAAATTATCCATAAATAGCAGTATTTTAATTTGTAAATATCAGCCTTCAAAAATTGTAGCAACTTTCCTGTAGCTTATTGAGAGTATTTTATGTTTAGTATGGAGAGGAAGGAGAGAGGGAGTGGTAGGAGGAAATATGTGGAGAGACGCCTAAAATTAAGAGGCATTTGAAGGTAGTATGGAAACCTAATAAGGCATAAATCTCTTAAAATATGAATATAAACAAAGGCAATGTAAATGAATCCCAAAATAAATGGGGGAGGCAGAGTCCCAGCAAGCCATCTCTTGTCAGCGAAAAAAGCTTCCATTATGGGGATTGGGTTATACCTAGTTAAGCTGTTGGCCAAAGGGATTCCATGGAAATCTCCAAACAACCCAGCCTGTTGCCAAACTAAGGTTGCTCTCCACCAACTGACAGCAAGGTCACATTGACAAAGACAACATCTACACAACTCTCTGAACATGGAGATGTTGAGCTGGTGCCTACAGAGAGCCTTCATTCCTATGTTCCAGAGTCTTTTGTACAGAAAGGGACTTCCATGTGACAGTCTTTGTTTTGTCTTGTTATATTTTATTCTATTATTAAAAAATGAATGATTAAATGAATGTAAACCTAACCACTAGGATAAAAGTTAACAGTGGAAATGTTGCTTATACCTGCTGGGAGAAGGAAAGTCAGTTTTCTCCAGTGGAATGACACTGGGTATATCAACTACTCCAGGGCAGGTTTCATGTTCAGGAGTAGTTGAACAACAAATGATGGA